GCGGGGCACCTTCTTGAAGCATTCGTTGAGCTACAAGTTGTGGCGAATGGAGTTCTGCCAGCCAGCCTTGCTGCACTGGTACAAAGGGAAGCTAATGGCCAGGAATTAGTAGATGTGGCAAACGTGAGGTTGTCCTCCGACGCGCTGTGGATGGCTATGGCGATGAGCGCCAAGTATGAGTAGGGTGGCCGCACCATCTTCATTAGGTCCTTCCGGGTGGCGAAGGACAGCCAGCCCAGCTGTGAAAGAGGATTTTCTATGGAAGTAACTCTGGGCAGTTTATGCGTCATGAACAGACCATCTATGCTGGATCAAGGTTTCCTGCTAATCCAGTTCATCCTTCAACATGTGCAGAAGGTTGCGTTTGGAATTTGAATAAAACACACTTTCAGTTGGAGACTTGAACACAGAGCCCACTAATTAAACAGATCACAGGAAAAAGAAAATCTGTTGAATATTAGAGTAACTGGTTAAACTAGGTTTTGACTGTCAATATGAAAAACATAAAGAACATTCCAGGTTGCACTGTGAAATAATGTAAAATGACCTACTAGGCACCCAAGAACTTTGGCTTGTTTGGTGCTGGGAATGGAACCAGGGGCCTTGTGCATACTGGGAAAGCGCTCTGAACCCAGCGCCAGAAGACTACCCACTGTACTTTCTGGAAAGGCATTGAGGCCACAATCTGAATCTGACATAAGAAATTTAAAATTAAGTAATGGAAATTTCGAGTGTCTGTTTTGAGGTCCGGCAGTAATCCTGATGGGAAAAGCGCAGCCACTCCCGGGAGCCCCCCTGTGGCTGCACGTGGCGAGGCCAGACTGTAAAGCACGGCAGCCTCACGCTCTCCAGGACCCTGCAGCTGAGTCTGGTGGAGCCCTGCGGGCCGGGACCCTGCGCTGCCAGATCTCCTAGCCCAGACTGTTCCGCTCAGGCAAGGCCACCGCAGAGGACTGGCACGGTGGTGGGAAGGGCGGCGCGGGAGCGCAGCGGATGCTGTCAGCCCCTTCCAGCCCAGGGAGGGCAGAGGACGCCCTAACAGCGGCCGCCAGTAGCGCCCTGGGCGACTGCTCTGCGGGTCGTTGAGACCTTCCCACAATGGACAGAAGCCTGAGAGGTCCTGGAGTGGGAGCAGACACTCCGCGACCAGAGAGAAAAGGCGGCAGACAAACCCTAACTGGCCAATTCCAAGCCCTGGACCCTTTGGGAAGATTTACTGGCCCTTAGCCTAAGGCCTGTGCATGTAACATGGAAAGGCTGCTCTCAACTTTTCCCCGGA